GGCCGCTCTCCTGAGCTGACGCTTCGCTTCCTCCAGCTTCCTCCTCTCCTTCCTCGAAGCCTTCCTCCTCACTCCTCCTGTGATCTTCGCCCCGAGGACCGTCGCGGAGTCGACGATGCAGGTGCCATCGATCCCATCCTCCTCGAGCCTCTTCCTCCCGTGTGGCGTCTTGTGCAGCCACTGCTTTTTACCCTCGTTCTCCACGAATCCGAAGACGTCCGAGGCGTCGCACCAGACATCGCCTCCTGCCTTCAAGTCGGCGGCGGTGTCCGCCGCCCAGGTCCTGTCATCGACGTAGAGCCTGCAGTCCACGCCGGGGCAGGTGTGCCGGAGCCTGAGCAGCGGCGCCAGCAGCACGGCCGACAGGCCGAGAGGGGAGAAGGGGTCCCCCTGAGGCAAGCTGCTGGCCACGCGCTGTGGCTCGGGGTGTACAGCTTGTCCAAGTTGTAGCCAGCGGAGCTGGTGGCACCACATCTCGGACAGCATGTTGTTCACGTTCGACGGCATTCCGAGCGTGTCGAAAGCCTTGGCCGCAATCTCTGGGTCGGTGTGGTCGAACGCCAGAGAAAAGTCCCAGCTGGTGAGGTACTTGCCCGCGGCAGCAGCCCCCACTGCCCATGCTATGCCCTCGTGGGCCTCCGCGGCCTTCCGGGCTCCCAGCATGGCATCGTCCCACCACGTGTCAATCCACTCGGAGCAGTCGTGCGAGCGGAAGCGCGCCGACGCCCAGAGCCTGTACCAGGACGATGTCACGGAGATGGGCCGCAGCGAGGCTGTGCTCACGGGCCCTTCGTCGGTGTCGTCCTTGGGGATGTGTACCTGTCTCATGGCCTTCCACTCGTCTGGCACCAGCCCGAGGGTCTCGAACTGGTTGAGGAGGAAGGTGATGGCACCAAGGGCGCAGAGGGCGTCGCAGAGCTCGGCCCCGAGCCAGCCGTCGGGCCCCGCGGAGGAGCCCCTCAGCCTTTCCATGGCTGTCCTGACCTCGCCCTCGTCCAGCGGCCGCCAGACGGCCTCGTCGTCGGCGCGGGAGGGCAGGTGAGCGGCCAGATAATCCTGCCAGCGGGCCGGGTCGGGTTTGGGGCGATCCCAGACCCGCCGCCAGCGCTGCTTCAAGAACTCCAGGGCCTCGGACTTGGACCTGGAGACGTTTCCCTGCTCGTCGGACACGGCGGGGTCCGTGGGCATCACGCCTCGGAGCCACTGGTGGGCCCGCCGATCCTCCTTCATGGATGTCTTCCACTGTTCTATCCGCTCCTGGCGGTCGTCCTCCTGCAGCTGACGCATCTTGTGCTCGAAGAGGAGAATCTTCGCCTCCAGCTGCCTGGTCCTGTCCAGCAGCTGCTGTTCCTCCGCGGCGCTCCCCAGGCCGAGGGTGGCATCGGCCCGGTCGCACCTGATTCGCAGCTCGCGCGCCTCGTCTGAGCGGCCCTGGCCGTGGCTCTCGAGCCACAGAAGCCTCCGCAACCGTCCCAAAGTGTTGGCGCACCTTCTCTGTCTGAAGCTTCCAGCGGCCGTCGCCTGCAGCTTCGACCATTGAACCTCGTGCGTGCTCACGTCGCCCTTGGGCACCTCCTGCCTCCGGGGCCGGCGGCGCTCCACAGTGCGCCTGGACGGCACGCGTTCCGAGGAGAGCGGGGCGCCAGTGTAGTCGGCAGCCCTCCACGCCCCGTCGGCCACGTCGACCTCTTCCTCCTCCTCGCCCCTGCGCTCGCCGCTGGGGGTGGCAAGATGGGCCGCGGCCTCGTCCAGCGTCTCCGCCAGGGCGGCGGTGAAGCTCTTCCACTCGGTGTTCACCCACTGCTGCGCGCTCCTGGAGCCCGGCTCGTGTGGGCAGTTCCTCTGGTCGTGCTGCCTGTCCTCCCACAGGCGGCGGGTGACCTCCACCCAGGTGTCCTGTGGGACCCCGGGCGGCCTGCCGTACTGCACGTGCGGCCTCAGCCGGACCTCCGTGGCGATGCCTCCCGGGGGGGCCCGCAAGCTGAAGCAGATGACCTTGTGGTCGGATAGCTGGTAGTTGGCGAAATCGAAGGAGTCCACCTCGGAATTGAAGACGAAGGCGTAGTCGATCGGCCTCGGCTGCCTCCCCGATGGATCCTTGTATCTGGTGGGCGTCCACTCGCCGGCCGCGGAGCTGACGCCCTTCTGCTCAACGAAGGGTGGTGCGGTGAGCTTCCCTGGGACCTCGTTCCAGTCGCCACAGGCGACCCACCTGGTCGTGTTGTCCACGCAGAAATCGTGGTCAATCCCGTCGATGATCCCCTGCGCGTGGCCGTCGGGGTGGACATAGGTGTTGGCGAGGACCTGGCCCGCGACCTCGACCGCGAGCACCTGCCCCCCGGGCCCCGCCCTCTTCCAGAGGAAGCGCTGCCTGTGGCGCTTGGACACCAGGGCCAGCACGCCGCCGACTGGTCGCCCGTCCTTCCTGGCACAGGCTGGCGCCTGGTAAACTGCAAATCCCCGCCTCGAGAACGAGTTCTGGTATCGGATGAACTCATCCCTGGTGTGGGACGTCTCCTGAAGCATGATCACGTCCTGCTGCTCGCTGAGGGCGGCATCGGCAGCGACCCAGGCAGCCCCGAACGTACGCACGTTGCAACTCCAGCAGCTGAGGAGCTGCCCTGCTGCCATTCCTCCTCCTCCACCTCCTCGCAAGGAGCGGGTCGCGCCAGGAGGCGCCGGCGCCGGACCCTTCCCCCCTCCGCTTGCCGTTGCCTCTCTGAAACGGGCAGGCGGCAGCAGGGGCCGGGAGGGGGGCCCGTCGGCGGCCTGGCGTCACTCCAGACCCGAGCGCCCCGCCTCAGCGTCGGGCGCTCCATCGTGTCCGTCGGCGGCACTTTGCTGTGCCCTGCTTTTCCTGTGCCTCTGCAGCTCCGCCGCCCTCTCGACCCTCCTCTTCTTTGCGTCGGGCGGCAGGGCAGCGTACATCCTCGCAGCGTACTGTTTCTTGGCCTGGCCCGTGGCTGGCTCGCAGACGACGCCCGTGGCGGCCCGCTGCAGGTCCAGATCCTTCTGTTTCCTCCGAGTCGTCTTGAATTTAGCCCCCAGCTCCAGCCGCGCTGCTGCATGCTCGGCTTCGTTGTGAGCCGTGATGCTGATGGCGCACTGCGGCCGCGACTCGAACTCGGGAAACCATTTCTGGCACCGCGAGCAGCGGTGCGACTTCAGGCTCAGCGGGATCTCGGCACCTGCGCCCAGCCCCAGCTGCTGCCTGATCTCCTCCTCCGTCTTCGGGACCAGTATCGCTGGCCGATCCCTCATTGTGGTGAACACCCTCCTGTCAACGTCTGGGTGCTCACGCTTGCGGTGGCGGGCCTTCTGCCTCATCATCAGGTCGTAGTTCCACTCCCCCGCCTCCCTCCTGCGTGGCGCAAACCCTCCTGGGTAATGCCGTGCCTCTTGGCCATGTTCGAATATTCCAGTGGCCACGAACGAGCACCCTGCGACAGGGCACCTCCAACTGGTAGCCTTCGGCTGACGGAAGCCCAGCTGCGGTGGTAGCGCCGCAGTCCCGCGCCGCCTGCTGTTCCGCAGCCGCCGCTTTTCCTCTGCATGTTCGAACCTGGTGGCGGGGCCGAAGACCCGCCCCTCCTCCTCCTCTTCCTCCCCGCGATCCTGAGGCGGCCCCCGAGGTACGAAGGGCTGCGTCGGGGAGATGTCGCGCAGGTCACTGTCCCTGGCGGCCTCCTCCTGGATCGATGGCATGGGGCGGCTCGTCCTCCACGAGCCCGCTTGCTTTCCTCGCAGCCTCCTCCTGCCCCCGCCACTGCCCGAAGCTGAAGAGGCGCTCTGCTTGCACCAGCTGGTGACACCTCCCTCTGAGGCGCTGCTCGGGGGAGCCGGCGGCGACGTGCCCGCCTGCCGCCAAGGTTTGTCCTGGCTGGCTCGGATTCCCGTTGCGTACCACAGCGAAGCACGCGGGCTCTGAGTGGCCCCGCTGTTGCTGCTGCGGCCTTCCCGACCCGGGCTGCCGGCCGGGTAAATGTCACCACATGTGCGGCCCTGCTGGCTGCTGCTGTGGCTCTCCTTGCACCAGCTCCCGACGTCGGTGTCGCTTCCGGCGCCTCTGAGCTTGTTGGGGGCGTACGGCGTGTTCGGCGCCTCGCCCCACTCCATGGGCCACACATCTTCCGGCCTCTTCTTCCGCATCGCCACGTAGTGGGAGTCCATGAGAAGAACTGGTAGAGGTGGCTGCTCCAAGGCTTTCTTCCTTGCCTTTGCCAGCTTCGACTGGTTGGTGGTCGCCTGGGTAGGCTCGGGCGGCGAAATGACCCATCCCTTGACCCAGCCGCCGCCGTCGTGTACGAAGACCACAATGCGACGGCCCACTCGGGCTGAGAGTGCCGCAGCCGCGTGCTCGTCGACCCAGCGATTTTCCCTGGCCGTTGCGTCTACCCACTCTTTCCAGCAGGTGGGTACAGCGCCGTCGTCCAACGTGGTGTTCGACAGCGTGTCGGCGACCCACGTGTCCTTCCACAGCTCATGGGAGCGGATGTAGTTGGTAGACTCCGCTCTCATCTTGGCGGCCAGCTGCTTGATCCTGGTTTCAATCTGCTGGCTGTCTCTCCCATCCTCGATTGCGGCCATCGCGGCCACCGCCCTGTAGAAGCAGTCGCCCGTGCCACCGAGGTCCCAAGTCTTGAAGCCCATCGCCGAGGCCGGAAAGGATCTCCTCGACTTCTCTTTTCCTCCTTGTGCTGGAGCTTCCCTTTTGCTGCCTATGGCAGCCACCCTCTGGGCCAGCTCGCTCTGGACGGGAGCGCCGGCTTCGGCGCCGCCCCCGGCCCCCGGGGCAGTCTGCGGCGGCATGTCCTCCTCGGCGTCATCGGGGGGGGCCTGCGCGTACTTCCACGGCTCCACCGCCCTCTCCGCATCCTTCCTTTTCTGCTCCTTCTCCTGGAGGTCCTTGTTGACTCCTCCAGGGCGCGCCGATAGCTGGCGCGAAACCATTCCTTCTTGTCTCCGAATGTCCCTGACGATGTGAATGACCGTGCCGTCCGCGATGGTGTAGGCGGAGGCCTCCTTCGTACCCGAGGGAGCCTTCGCCTTGACGACCCAGCCTTTCTTTCCCCATCTCGGTCTCATCATGGCAATCTCGGCGAAGCCGTTCTGCTCAAGAAAGCCCGTCACGTCGGCACTGCTCCAATCAACCGGCGTGCCCTTGATCTCCCAGGGAAGGGCGCGATCAGGAACGCGCGGCACGGTGCCGTCCGGGAGCCTCCAGCCTAGCGGTGCTTGCCCTCCTCTCCTGAAGGCTAAGCCGTTGGCATCGTTCCCCACCTGCCTCAACACCCGGCTGAGGTAGACCCGATCGTCCTCGTCGGCGTCCTGGGTGACCCACTCGACTGCCGACCTACCTCCGTTGCACACCAGGCGCTCGGCGAACAAGCCCGCCTGGCCAGACTGCTTCAGGATGCTAGGTACCTTCCCCGCCTGGACGGTGGCGAAGCATGTCCTGCATCTTTCCTCTCCTCCCTCAAGAGCTCGAAATCCATATGTGCGGGTCACGCCGGACGCGTCCCACAAGCTATGAATCGATGTCATCATCGAGGCCTTCCAAGTTTCATCTGAGGCGTAGCGCTTCACAAGGGTGATCCTGATGGTCTCCGTCTCCTTCGTGGGCGCTGCTGCCACACTGCCTGCCGCCTTCGGGACCTCCACCGCCGGGATCTCGGGCACTGTGTCCTTCAGGGGGGTGATGTAGAGCTCCTCCAGTGGGGCACTCCTTCCGCACTCGGTATCTATCCTGAGCCACTTCTTCTGGTTGGTGACGCCCTCGATGGCCGGGTCTTCACGCGTGACCACCCCCAGGCTCTTTTTGATACCACTCGACCTGGCTAGATCCCGCAATGCTTGCACTTCATCAGCGCATGCCACTACAAGGATCGCCTCCTGTAGCCGGTCGAGCTTCCCGTCGTCGATCAGATGCCGCAGCCCATTAGCGCTGAGCACCTGGCCCTTCGCATAGCCTCCTAACCTCGGCAACTTTCCCTTTGCCTTCGATGCGGTGGCCTCCTTCCCTCTGTCCCCTCTGCCTTCCTGGTGGTGCTGCTGTCGCTGCTCCTGCCGCGGCCCTGTGCGCGGCGGCAGCTGCTGCGGCTGCTGCTGTGTACCTCCAGTCGTACCAATGATGTCAGAGATGGTGGTCACCAACTTCTCGGCTGTCCATCCTCCCTTCTTGCCGTCCTCTAGCGCCTTGGCTAACTTGGACGACAACTCCTCGACGGTCCTCGCCTTGGACTCCTGCCTTTTAGACTTCCGTCGTGACCTTGTTGGGGCGGCTGATGTGGGGCGGGACGCGTACTGATCCAGCACGTTCTTCAGCGCAGAACATAACGCCTCCACATCTTGCGGAGCCCCCCCTCTCATACCCGGGTGCTGCCAGAAGGCGTCCATGAAGTCGATCTTCGTGTCAGACTCCCCGCAACCAAAATGGTGCGAAAAACAAGCATGATCTCCTGACTGATGAGGGTCAACGCCTGTACCTTGGTCCGAGCTTGGTGCCGAACTCGTTGATGCTGAAGGGGTCCCTCCAACACTGTCCATGCCAGCCGAATTGGGGTCGATACCGTACCCGGCACCGCTGCAGCAGTGCGCCATACGGCAGCGGGCCGCCGCAGGCCTGGGTACGCTTTCCTCTGTGGCTCGCTTTGTGTCAGGAAACACATCGGGATGACTGCGACGTCTGACGTGACAAAAGCAAGAGCTCCGCACGGCCTTCACCGCCCGCTGGACGGTAGAGGCACCCGCGGCACAAGTATCAACAGCTTCCCCTGCTCGTGGAGGTAGGTGGTGGGCCTTATCTGCCTCGCCGTGGGCACCGCACGGGTCGCCCATCCGAGCGCATCGCCGAAGGCCCGCGCTGTACCTGCCAAGTAACCCATGATGCTGTAGCCATCCCCCGCCACGGCGCATCACCACTAAGTAAGAAGCCAACTGATGTCGTTGTCTATGGCGTGCGGATGGAAGCCCTCGCGCGCCTCGAACTCGAGCACGACCCGCTCGAAGTGCGAAATGAATTCGAAAAAATTGTACCCGTCCAACTTCTCGCCACCTGGCGGCACGGCTGGCGATCCACCCAATCGCCCACCCCGCCATAGCCAGGATGCCCGTGGAGACTGCCACCCAGTAGCACACCAGGTGGTAGGCAAGCTCCGAGATCAGCCCCTCGGCGCCTGCCCCGTGGAAGCGTTGGCGTACTCCACCGCTCGCGCTGTGCTCGACGATCTGTGCCTTGTAGTCGTGGTGCTCGCTGCAGGTCATTCGCGAAAGTGTCAGCTTGCCTGGGCCGCAGAACTTGACAGAGGCAACATTGGCATTCTGGATCATGTTGCACTTGCCGTCCTCCGTGGTGATCTCCGAGAACTCGGCGGTACCCGCGGCGTCCGCGGAGGTCGAGGTGAAGATCTGCGTCTGCTGGCCGCACACGAACCTGGTGTGCGTCACAGCGGCCTGCCCGGACGCCAGCAGGAGCAGCACAGAGGCGGCGCGGAACGCCAT